CAGTAACAGGTAACAAGTATCAAGTAACAGTAACAAGTCTCCATCCTGAGACTTGCAGTTACTGTGTTTGGCATATTGAATAGGTCATGGGTAGCTTGCCAGGCTCTGCCATGCGGGGGAGATACTCTCGGTAGCTGGCCGGGCTCTCCGAGAGGGGCGGAGGAATCGAACCCGGGTTGGCTGCGTGCAAGGCAAACGCCCTACGGCTGTGCTATCGCTCCAGCCCTTTTAAACACAGTAAATTTACTCCTTACGATATTTCTAGTCATTTTCTATGAACACAGTAAGACGTATATTAAGCTTAAAGCTTGTCTCTTCCTGGGGGCATCTGGCCAGAGATCCCAGACCACGGTCCTCTGGGTCAGCTGGGTCTTTCCTGACCCCCAGCAGGGTCCTTATTCAGTTACGTCTTTTTGGGTCGTGCCAGAGTTTGCTCCATGACAGTGCTCTTAGGGTCACTTATGGGGCTTAACTTGTCCCCTTTCGATGCCAGGGTAGCTCACCGCTTGCCCTGGGTCCATCCAGTCCCTCGTCGGGACCCTGGTCTTGGAGAACCAGGAACTAAAAGGGCAACTGAGGCTTCAGCCAAGTAAATACGGATGCCCGGGAGTAAATATTATGTTGGAGTCAATTAACTCCCACGTTACCGAGCGTAGCATGAACGGTCCTCCTGTGTCATACAAAGAGGACATTGCTAAATAATGGTATAAAGGAAAGAGAAAGGGAATACAGGATTATTAGTGCCTGATGGAACAGGGTGTGCCTCTGGAGCACTGTAGTGGGAGTAGCTCACTAAACCTGCGTTTCCTTTGGGAGGAGCAAGGACGACCCAGTGTTACCCAACACCCACGAGGCGAGTCTCATTTCTGTCCCAAGCCAGGCAAATGCAGCTTCCCAGGCTCGACGGGACACTCCCGGCCGAGTCGCCAGCCGCCCTGACCACACTCCTACGCTCCAACCCGACGTCTTTAAGGCCGCAGTAAATGCAGCCGATTCCAGAACGTTCTGTCCCCTGATTAATTCTGGGTCCGGGAAATCGGCTTTGGCTCAACAGCGCGCCCTAGTGGTCACGCTGAGACGTGCTGCGTGAGTGGACGCTGGGCAGCTGTCCAGGGCCCGGCCCGTCCCCTCAAAGACTCCAAACACCAACCGAAAAGACGAACGAGCCTGGCACGTCCTCCTGGTTGCCCAAAGTCAACTTCAGTCCCCACTGGAGGGCGAAGGGCAGGCGGCATGTGAGTCCAGGGCGGACACACTAGTGGTCACTGCTGCAATTCTTCCCAGGGCTTCCGCCCAGTCCTCGCCACCACCGTCCACCTGCCCCCTGAGCGCCTGGGCAGCGAGTGCCCACGATTTTCCACTGGCCTGGGGTTCCGCTGGCTTTAAGAATCTGACGGGGTCGGAGCGACAGGACATCGGGGGAGGGCGCTGGCCTTGCACATGGCTAGCCAGGAGTGATCCCTGGCATCTCAGAGGGTCCCCCAGCCCGCCTGGAGTGAGCCCTGAGCACAGAGCTGGGAGTCAGCCCTGAGCACATAGTCTGGAGTCAGCCCTGAGCACAGAGCCGGAAGTCAGCCCTGAGCAAAGATTCCGGAGTTATCCCTGAGCACAGTCAGGAGTGAGCCCTGAGCACTGAACCAGGAGGCAGCCCTGAGAACAGAGCCAGGAGTGAGCCCTGAGCAGAGCCAGGAGTCAGCTCTGAGCACAGAACCAGGATTTAGCCCTGAACACAGAGTTGGGAGTGACCCTGAGCACAGAGCCAGGAGTCAGCCCTGAACACAGAACCTTTTTGATCTTTGAGCACAGAGTCAGGAGTGATCCCTGAGCACAGAGCTGGGAGTGATCCCTGAGCATAGAGCCGGGAGTCAGCCCTGAGCACAGGACCACGAGTCAGCCCTGAGCACAGAGCCGGGAGTGAGCCCCGAGCACAGAGCCGGGATTTAGCCCTGAACACAGAGTTGGGAGTGACCCTGAGCACAGAGTCAGGAGTCTTGAGCACAGAGCCGGGAGTCAGCCCTGAGCATCACGCACCCCTGGTGTGTCCCCTGATGGGTCCGGTGTGTGGGGGCTTCTACAACCCCTCGCCTTTGGGTCGAGCATCGACCCTCCTACCCCCAGCCCTGAGCTGGGGACTCCCGGCCCTGAGCACTGTTTGGGAGCAACCCCCCCCAGCAGTGCAGGCGGGAGGGAGCAGGAGCTGGGCCTGTCCTGGTGCCGGCCAGTGGCCGGGACAGTCTCGGCCACCTTGGGCTGGTCTGGGATTCGGCCCTGGCACGTGTCCGGCCCAGCGGGGAGGGGGGGGGGGTGGGGGTGGGGGGTGGGTGGCGGCGGGACCCCCAAGCCAGCGAGGGAGACCCCGGCCCGGCTCCTCCCGCACCTGCACGGCCCCTGAGGGGGGGTCAGCACCTGGGGCAGCGGGGGTCAGCTGGAGGCTCGGGGCATTGTCCACCTCCGCCCTTAGGGGGGCCGGACAGGGGGGCCGGACGGGGGGGGCGGGCAGGGGGCTGGACAGGGGGGCAGGACGGGGGGGGGGGCGGGCGGAGGGCCGGACAGGGGGCTGGACAGGGGGGTCGGACAGGGGGGCCGGATAGGGGGCCGGACAGGGGGCCGGACAGGGAGGCCGGACACGGGGGCCGGACAGGGGGGCCGGACAGGGAGGCCGGACACGGGGGCTGGACACGGGGGCTGCACAGGGGGGCCGGAAGGGGGTCTCGACACGGGGGCCGGACGGGGGCCGCGCACGCATCCCGGGCAGGTGGGCCGGCAGGACGGCCGGACACGGGGGCCGGGAGGTGCCTGGACACGAACCCCGGACCCGGACCCCGGCAGCGTCCAGCCGCGTCCGGCAGGAGCCCCCGGCGGGCGTCCGGGCCGCGCCCGCCCCGCACACGTGACTCCCGCCCCGCCCCGCCCCGCCCCGCCCGGAAGCCCGGGGCCCGCGCGCGTCACTTCCGGCCGCCGGGGGGGGGGGGGGCGGGCGTTCGGGCGGCCGCGCTCGGCCTTTTGGGCCCCGCCGGGCGCCGTAGGGGGCGGGGCGGGCGGGCGGCGCGGCGGGTTCGAACGCGCAACGGTCGGGCGGGAGGACGGGCGGGAGCACCGCGGTGAGCGCGGCGGGCGCGGGGCTTGGGGGGGCGTGTGTGTGTGTGCTTGTGTTTGTGTGTGCGTGCATGTGTGTGTATTTGTGTATGCGTGTTTGTGTGTGCGCGTGTGTGTGCGCGTGTGTGTGTGCGTGTGTGTATGCGCGTGTGTGTATGCGTCTGCTTGTGTGTGTATGCTGGTATGCATGTATATGTGTGTATGTATGTGTGTATGTGTGTGTATGCGTGTAATGCGAGTATGCATGTATATGTGGGTGTGTGTGCGCGTGTGTGTATGTGTGTGTATGCATCTGCTTGTGTGTGTACGTGTGTGCGTGTGTGTATGCGAGTATGCATGTATATGTGTGTGTATGTGTATATGTGTGTATGCATGTGTATATGTGTGTGTATGTGTGTGTATGCGCATGTGTGTATGCGTCTGCTTGTGTGTGTATGCGCGTGTGTATGCAAGTATGCATGTATATGTGGGTGTGTGTGCACGTGTGTGTATGTTTGTGTGTGCACGTGTGTGTATGTGCGTGTGTGTATGTGTGTGTGTATGTGTGTATGCATGTGTGTATGTCCATGTGTGTATGCGTGTGTGTATGCATCTGCTTGTGTGTGTACGTGTGTGCGTGTGTGTATGTGAGTATGCATGTATATGTGTGTGTATATGTGTGTGTATGCATGTGTGTATGTGTGTGTATGTGTATGTATGCGCATGTGTGTATGCGTCTGCTTGTGTGTGTATGCGCGTGTGTATGCGAGTATGCATGTATATGTGGGTGTGTGTGCACGTGTGTGTATGTGCGTGTGTGTATGTGTGTATGCATGTGTGTGTATGTCCATGTGTGTATGCGTGTGTGTATGCCAGTACGCATATATACGTGGGTATGTGCACGCGAGTGTATGCGTGTGTATGTGTGTGTGTATGCGCGTGCGTGGGTGTGTATGCGCATTTGCGTATGCATGTGTGTATGTGCATGTGTGCATGCATGTGTGTTTGCGCATTTGTGTGTGCGTGTGTATGCGAGTGTACCACGTATGTGTGCGTGTGTGTGTGGTCGCGTGTGCATGTTTGTGTGTGTCTGCGCAGGTGTGTGCATCGGTGCGTGCTCTCCCCCCAGACTGCCGCGACAGGACGCGTCGTCAAGCATACGGCGGGTTTGGCTGGTTGTTGGCGGCAGCGCCCCCCCCCAAGCGGCTCCTGAGCACTGTCAGGTGGGCACCTCCTGCCTTTTGCGAAAATCACACTCTTCCCCTTCGCCCTTCCTGCATGATTGTTCCCGGCGCGTCCTACTCGGGCCGGGCCAGCGCTGAGCAGGAGGCCAGCGGGACGGACGGCCGAGCCCGGGCCGGGCAGTGAGCAGCGGGGAGCGGCGGGGCGGGGTGGCCGGGAAGTCTAGTGGGCAGCGCCCTCAGCCGGGGACACGGGAGGGGCCGGAGGGAGCCAGGGATGAGGCCTGGAGGGTCCTGCCCGAGGAGAACGGCCGGAAAGGTCAGACCCAACGCTCGGGTGTGACCGTGACACCCCAGGGATGGGCGGCAGCACCCCCACGCACACGCACACACACACACACACACACACCAGCCTGTGCGTGCGCCCGGACTCTGAAGCCCGTGGCTGGAAGCGGTGCCGCCCTAGACACGCGTGTACGTCGCCTCTGCCTGGGGGGGTTCGTGCCCGGATCCTCCGCGTCAGACCCCCCAAGCGGCCGCCTCCCGCCCAGCTCGGAGTGGACGGACGCCTGGCTTGGTGTCTGCCACTCGGAGCAGTGGGGCGGGGAGTGACAGCCCTGCCCCGCCGGCAGGCGGACGGACAGACGGACTCTGCGGCTTCTCCTGGCGGCCGGGCTGGTGACCCCCGGCCCCCGACTCTGGGCCCGCAGCCGTGCCTGATCCCGGCCCCTCGTCCCCCAGGCCAGCCGGAGGCGATGGAGACGCTGTCCTTCCCCAGGTACAACGTGGCCGAGCTCCTGGTCCACATTCGCAACAAGATCCTCACGGGGGCCGACGGGAAGAACCTGTCCAAGTCGGACCTGTATCCAAACCCCAAGGTACGAGGGGCTTGCGGTGGGGTCCCGGGCCACCTCGGGCCACCGCGCCCACGTCCAGAGCCCTGTGGCGTGTCAGCGAACCCCCCCGTGATACGTCTGGGTTCATGAGAACGGACAAAGGACATATTAAAGAATATTCCGTTTTCCGGTGAGACGGCCCAGCGGCTGTTGCGGGGCCGTTGATTCGTGGGCCGGTGGCACGTGGAACCCAGCCCCCCGAAAACGTCTCTGGAAGCTCACAGATTAATATCCGGGGCTGGGCCCCCCGGGGGGGACGGCTGGCCGTGACAGGCGCCCGTCTCATTTCTTCCGTTATTAAACGCAGACACGCGCTCTCTCTGGACACAGTAAAACGGGTTGAATGAGGATGAGATCAGGGATGCCAGGCGTCCTTCCTCCCCGTGAAGGTGTCCAGGCAGCAAAACCGGGTTTGGGGCCCGCCCGGAGGAGTCCGCTGGCCTGGGAGAAAGACCCCGGAGGCCCCTTCCCGGGAAGTGTCCGCCCCCTGGGCTGTGTCCAGGTCACACCTAAGAGCTAGACGCCAGAGTGACGGGACACCGGCGTGCCGGTCCATCCCAGGCTCCCCGTCGGGTCCCCGAGTTCCTGCCAGGGGTCAGCCCGGGCCGTCCCCCAGTCCTCGCGTCCCCCAGGAGGCCACCGCCGTCCGCCTGCCCATCTCGGCTGCTCCGCGGGGCCGGTTCGGGGGTCCCGGGGGTTCCGCCGACCAGCTTCTCTGTTGCAGCCCGAAGTCTTACATGCCATCTACATGCGGGTGCTGCAGATGGTATACGGGACCCGGCTGGAACACTTCTACATGGTGAGTGGACCCGGCACGCGGCCGAGGCGGCCCCTTCTCCTTCCGGGCCTTTCCGGGGACGGACGGACGGATGGACGGACGGCAGATGGCATTTCTCTGGGCTCTCCCCGGCTCTGACCGCGGCCAAGGGCTTCGTTCCTCTGTAGAATGCTGCACGCAGACCACGAGAGAACATGTGTGAAATGTTTAGCCAGTCAGGGGTCACGTCACCGTCCTTGTGCGGATCCATCCCGGGCTCTGCAGAGGACTCAGCCCTGAGCACAGAGCTTGGAGTCCGCCCTGAGCGCCCTGGGGTGACCCCTTCTGCCTTTTTTTTTTTTTCTCTTTGGGTCCCACCCGGGGATGCTCAGGGCTGACTCCCGGCTCTGCGCTCAGGAATCACTCCTGGCGGTGCTCGGGGGACCCTGTGGGATGCCGGGGATCGAACCCGGGTCGGCCGCGTGCCAGGCCAACCAAGTCCCTCCCCGCCGTGCCATCGCTCCGGCCCCCTGCATCCTTCCCCCGAGTGCTCCCGGCGGGCGCCCTGGGCAGCGGCGTGGTGCCGGCGACCGCTCGGGGTGGGCGCCTGGCCCGGGGCCGCCTTGCCCACGGCCTCTCCCCGCCCCGCCCCGCAGCTGCCCGTCCGCTCGGAGGTGGCGTTCCCGCAGATCATGGAGGGCTTCCTGCCCGTCAGCAACCTGTCCCTGCACCTGTGAGTGGGGGCGGCTCTGCCGTGACGTCCGGGTGGGTCGGGGCGTCCTCAGTTTCCCCCCCGCCGCCCCGGGAGGGCCGCGGCGACTGGGGTCAGCGCACGGCCCGCCGTCCTTTGACCCTTAACCCGGGAGAAGCCCCCGGCCCGGAGGGTGGGTCTCCCACGCTCTCGCTTCCTCCTCCAGGGACTCCTTCATGCCCGTCTGTCGGGTCAACGACTTTGAGATCGCGGATATTCTGCACCCAAGTAAGTGACGCGCCAGCGTGGGGCGGCCCGGGGCGACGGGGCCCCTGGGGGTCCCGCGCTGGCGTTTCTTCTGCCTCCGTCTCCAGGGGAGCTGGTTTCGTCACGACTCTTTCTTGTCCTCTGCTTTCGTTTTAGGGCTGTACCTGGCGATACTCAGGGCTGACTCCAGGCTCAGTGCTCAGGGCTGACTCCCGGCTCTGTGCTCAGGGCTGACTCCCGGCTCTGTGCTCAGGGCTGACTCCTGGCTCAGTGCTCAGGGCTGACTCCTGGCTCTGTGCTCAGAAATCACTCCCAGCTCAGTGCTCAGGGCTGACTCCCGGCTCTGTGCTCAGGAATGACTCCTGGCTCTGTGCTCAGGGCTGACTCCCGGCTCTGTGCTCAGGGCTGACTCCTGGTTCTGTGCTCAGGGCTGACTCCCAGCTCTGTGCTCAGAAATCACTCCCAGCTCAGTGCTCAGGGCTGACTCCCGGCTCTGTGCTCAGGAATGACTTCTGGCTCTGTGCTCAGAGCTGACTCCCGGCTCTGTGCTCAGGGCTGACTCCAGACTCTGTGCTCAGAGCTGACTCCTGGCTCAGTGCTCAGGGCTGACTCTGGGCTCTGTGCTCAGGGCTGACTTCTGGCTCGGTGCTCAGGACTGACTCCTGATTCTGTGCTCAGGGCCGACTCCAGGCTCTGTGCTCAGGGCTGACTCCTGGCTCAGTGCTCAGGGCCGACTCCAGGCTCTGTGCTCAGGGCTGACTCCCGGTTCTGTGCTCAGGGCTGACTCCCAGCTCTTTGCTCAGGGATGACTCCTAGCTCTGTGCTCAGGGCTGCTCCCGGCTCTGTGCTCAGGGCTCACTCCCGGCTCAGTGCTCAGAGATCACTTCCGGCTCTGTGCTCGGAGCGCAGTGCGGATCTCAGACAGTCGGTCTGTGGCCCAGCGCGGGGTCCCTGGCGGGGGAGGCCGCGGCGCCAGGCGTGTCCCTCTGTCCCTCCCCCTCCAGAAGCCAAGCGGACCACCCGTTTCCTCAGCGGCATCATCAACTTCATCCACTTCCGGGAGGCCTGCCGGGAGACCTACATGGAGTTCCTGTGGCAATACGTGAGGCCGCGCGGGGTCTGGGCGGCGGCTCGCCCCCCGCACCCACGGGGGTGGCCCCGGGCACTGCCGGGTGTGGCCTCCGAGTTATCTGGGGGCCGCGGGCCAGGGGGCGGCCGCTCAGCTGGCCGTGGCGCGTCCGTCAGAATGCGTGGGCTCTGGCCTCGTGCTGGACGCTGCCCCTGTCAGTGACCCGGGGGCGGCTGTGGGGCCGGCCACGGGACCCCCCGTCTGCCGAGTGCGGGTCACGGTGTGGGCTGACCTGTCCACTCTCCGGGTGGGGGACCCCAGCCCCCACGCTCAGAGCCCCCCACCCCTGCCCATCTCCGCCGTCCTCTGTGTCCCCCATCGGAGGGCGGAGTGTGAGGCTGGGGCGGACGATCTGGGGGTCCCGCGTGCCCCGGGCGGGGGCGTCCCTGACGGGACCCCGCGTCCCCCCTGCAGAAATCGTCCATGGACAAGATGACTCAGCTGGAGAGCGCCCACCAGGAGGCGCTGCAGCGGCTGGATCGCCTGGAGTGAGCGGCCCAGGGGGTGCGGGGGGGGTGCGTGGGGGCGCGGGGTGGGGCGTGGCCGTGGGCCCTGACCGCGTCCCCTGCCCAGCTCGGTGCCCGCCGACGAGCAGGCGGAGTTCCAGCAGCTGTCGGACGACATCCAGGCCCTGCAGCGGACCCTGAGCCAGGACTTCCGGCAGAAAACGGTACCCTGGGGGGCCGGAGTGACAGCACCGCGGGGAGGGGCGTCGGCCTGGCACGGGCCGACCCGGGTTCGATCCCCGGCATCCCCTAGGGTCCCCTGAGCACCGCCAGGAGTGATTCCTGAGCGCAGAGCCAGGAGGAACCCCTGAGCATTGCCTTGCATGTGGCCGACCCGGGTTCGATCCCCGGCATCCCACAGGGTCTCCCTGAGCACCGCCAGGAGTGATCCCTGAGTGCAGAGCCCGGAGTCAGCCCTGAGCATCGCTGGGTCGAATCCAAAAAGCAAAAAATAAATAAATAAATAAAATAAAAAAAGAAAACCATACTTAGGCTTGGGGCCCGCTGGGGGCCCGCGGGTGGCCCCGGCTGTGTGTGACCGAGCACAGAGCCCGGGACACTGACGCAGTGACTGTCCCCTCCCCAGGCCGTGCTGCAGGAGGCGAACGCGCAGAAGAAATCGGACATCTCGGAGAAAATCAAGCGCCTGGTGAGCTCCGGGGCTGTTGGTGACACGGGTCGTCCTTGCTCCTCCTGCAGGGAGCGTGGATTGATGGGACTACTCCCACCACAGTGCTCGCGGGGCACACCCAATTCCACCAGGCACCAACGATCCGATCTTGCCGTTCTCTTTCCTTTACGTCCTTGGCCGTGGCTTGTCTAGCAACGTCCCTTTTGTCGAGACCCAGGGGGACCGTTCGCGCTGGGCTCTGTGACATGGGAGTTAACTGAGTCCAGAATTATCATTTACTCCTGGGAATTATTCACTCCCGGGCATCCCTATTTACTTGGCTGAAGCCTCAGTTGCCCTTTTAGTTCCTGGTACTCCAAGACCAGGGTCCCGACGAGGGACTGGATGGACCCAGGGCAAGCGGTGAGCTACCCTGCCATCGAAAGGGGACAAGTCAAGCCCCGTAAGTGACCCTCAGAGCATGGTCACAGGACAGACTCTGTCGTGACCCATAAAGAAGTGACTGAACAAGGACCCTGCTGGGGTCAGGAAAGACCCAGCTGGCCCGAGGACTGTGGTCTGGGATCTATGGCCAGACGCCCCCAGGAAGAGACACGCTTAAAGCTTAATATACGTCTTACTGCGTTCATAGAAAATGACTAGAAAGGGGCTGGAGCGATAGCACAGCGGGGAGGGCGTTGGCCTTGCACGCGGCCGACCCGGGTTCGATTCTCAGCACCCCATAAGGGTCCCCTGAGCACCGCCAGGAGTAACTCCTGAGTGCAGAGCCAGGAGTAACCCCTGGGCATCGCCGGGTGTGACCCAAAAAGCCAAAAAACAAACAAAAAAAAAACAAGAACAAAACCAAAATGACTAGAAATATTATAAGAAGTAATTTCACTGTGATTGAATGGATTACTAGCTGAGGAAAGGAGAGAGCAGGACACCCAGGACGAAATCCCGCCTTTGACCACATCTCCTAGTCATCTGGAGTGCGGAACCCTCAGATGAGCTCTTGTGCTGGAATTAATCCCCCCCTGTAGGAGTGACTTTTCCTCCGTTTGTTGTTACGACAATGTTCAAACCCACCCTTCGCGATTTCTAAATCCCTGTGCAGTAAGAGGGAACAGGGGACGAGAAATTCAAATTCTAAGAGGACAAAAACTGAGACTTGGGGACTTTGGGGTCTTTGAGCACTAGAAGGACTAAGATGACGATGATGGCTGGAAGTAGGACACGGTGAGACTCTGACGAGACCAGGAAGAAGATGTAACGAGGGAGGGGACCTTGGGGTCTACGGGGAGACTAGGATGGTGGCCTTGGATGACTGGGACCAAAATGACGCCTCTGGTTGCCCTGTAAGGGGGAGATCGGACCATACCAGGGAGGGGAGAGAAAGTCTCCCAACCAGCCTGGGCCCAGTTTCTCCGTTCCCTGGTCCCCTGGTCCTTCATCCACTGTCCCCGAGGGCCAGCCTGGGCCACCAGATACTCCGCCCCGCGTGTGCCTGCGTGTTTTTTAACTTTGAAACTCAGCACTTGGCCACGGGGCGCGGGCGGGCGTGGGGGCTGGCCGGCTGGGGCCTGGCCGTGGGTCGTGTGTCCAGGAGTGTGGCCGGGGGGGTCAGGCGGCCGGAGGGAAACCTGGGGCCTGGGCAGGGGCGTGGGGGGGAGGGGTCTGATTTGGAGACCAGGGAGGCAGCGCGGGTCTGTTATCATGGTCTGTCCCCCGTTCCCCGTCCCCCAGAACGAGCTGAAACTCTCGCTGGCGACCTCCAAAGAGCTGCAGGACAGTCTCAAGACCAAGATTGTCGATTCCCCAGAAAAGCTGAAGAACTTCAAGGAGCGGATGAAGGAGACGGTCCAGAAGCTCAAAGCCTCCCGGGTGCGTCCCCGCCCGCCCGCCCCTGCCAGATCGCCCGCCTGCCCTCGAGCCCCCGGCAGGACACGAGCTCGGCGTCCCCTCCTGGGCCTGGGCCTGGTCTGCGGTGGGTCGGTTCTGGGCCTTTCTCGGAGGCTCTGCCCGAGTGACCGCGGAGAGGCGGGGGGCCCATGCAGGGGTGGGGACCGCCACCCCAGGCCAGGCCGTCCGTCCCCTGCGCCCCCAATTCAGAGCGAGGCGGGGCGGGTGGGCGCGTCCTGGGCGCCCGCTGGGCTCCGAGCTGACCGGGCGGTGCCCCCCAGCAAGAGGTGATGGACAGGTTCGACGTGTACCGCGACTCGGTGGAGGGGCTGCCCTCGTGCCAGCTGGAGGTCCAGCTGTACCACAAGAAGGCCCAGGAGCTGGCGGACAGCAGGGACAGGCTGGCCCAGACCGCCAAGGAGGTGGGTGCTGACCGCCCGAGCGGGGGGACGGTGGGGCGCCCGCCCCCGCCCGGCTCACCGCGACCCCGGCCGCCAGAGCCTGACCCTGGAGGACCAGATCGAGAGCGCCCAGCTGGCCCTGAAGAAGCTGAAGGCCGAGGAGAGCGCCCTCCGGCGGCTGCTGGTGGCCAGGAAGGAGAAGCTGGCCACCGCCCAGCTCCGGATGACCAGGAAGCAGGAGGACGCCGAGGAGTACAAGCGCACGGTGCTCGAGTAGGTCGCCGGGCTCGCCGGGCGGGTCACCCGGGGTCACCGAGTCGGTCACTGGGGTCCTCGAGTAGGTCCCCCGGGGTCACCGAGTAGGTCACCAGGGTCACCGAGGTCCTTGAGTAGGTCACCTGGGGTCACCGGGTGGGTCACTCAGGGTCACAAGTAGGTCACCTGGGAGTTTTGGTTAGGTCACCTGGATTCCTTGGTAGGTCACCTGGGGTCACTGTGGTCACCTGGGGTCCTTGGTACGTCACCTGGGGTCATTGGGTAGGTCACCTGGGGTCACAGGTGGGTCATTCAGGTTCACCAAGTAGGTCACCTGGGTCCTTGGGTAGGTCACTCGGGGTCATTGGGTAGGTCACCCAGGGTCATTGGGTAGGTCATCTGGGGTCATCGGGTAGGTCACCCAGGGTCTTCTGGGAAGTCACCTGGGGTCATGGATCGGTCACCTGGGGTCCTCAGGTTGGTCACTTGGGGTCACCGGGTAGGTCACCAGGGTCACCGGGCAGCCCCCGCCCGGGCGCCCGGCGTGCCCTGAGCCGCGTGTCCGTGCCAGGGACTGCGGGAAGGTGCAGGAGAAGCGGGGGGCCGTGTGCGAGCGCGTGGCCGCCATCTCCCAGGAGGCGCAGCGCGTGCGGCTCAGCACCCAGCAGCTGCGGGACACGGCCGAGCGGGAGCGCCTCAAGGCCCGCGTGAGTCGGCGGGACGCGGGACCCCCGGCGGGACCCCGCCCCCGCCCCCGCTCACACGTCTCCCCCGCCCCCAGGAGATCTTCCTCAACCTCAAGGCCGGGCTGGAGAAGTACCACGAGGGGCTGGAGCGGGCGTCGGCCGAGGGGCGCCAGGCGCTGCTGGGGAGGGTGGCGGCGCTGAGGGCGCGGCTGTACCGGCCCGACAGCTGAGGGCCCGGGGGGGGCGCACGGGGGTCTCGGTGGGCACGCGGGTGCTTTTCTTTCCCCGGAGAGGACTCTCGCCTGGGATTAAAGTCGAGTCTCGCTTCACGTGTGTGTGCGTCTGCTCTAACTGCGTCTGAAACGTGCGGGTGTCCATGTACTCAGCACTCAGCACTCAGGACTTAACATTCAGCACCTAGCCTCACGCCACAGCCCCCACCAATGAGATTGTCACCTGTGGCCCCTCTGGGATACACCGGGGCCCCCCCAGGGGTCAGACGCCTTCGGCCTCCTGTTCCAGACCTGTCGCCACCACCAGGGGGCAGCACCTCTGTGAGTGACCGGGACACTAAGAGCGAGTCTGTCCTCCAGGGCCAGCCAGTTCAGGGCCAGGCGGGCCAGGGCGGCGGCTTCCAGCCCCAGGTCTGGGCCTGTCACCATCCCCACTAGCTGCCATTTCTCATGGGTGCTGTGGGCTCGGGCCGCAGGGATAGCTCAGTGGGCAGAGTACTCGCCTTGCAGTCCTGGTTCCACCGCCGGTACCACACAGGGTCCCCCTAAATCCCGCAGCAGGGACCCCTGAGAGCACCCCTGGGCGTGTGTCCAAGCCCCAGCCCCCAAGAATCCGCCACTGTGTTTCCTGGGAACGGCGGGGGCCACTTGGAGCAGGCGGCAGGATCCTCAGGCCCGGGCCCCTGGGCTCCACACTGCTGCCCCTCCTGGAGGTCCCGGGGACACGGGTGCTGGGGAGGGGCGGGCTGGGGGCCCGGGGCAGGCCTGGCACATGCTCCAGCCCTCTGAGCGTCCTCCGCCTTCAGAGTGACCTTCTGTGGGTCCCCGATGGCCACCCCCCCCACCCCATCCCCTGCCTGCCTGTCCGTCCCTCTGTCTGCAAAGCAGTAGGAACACAGGCCCGTGAGCGCGGAAACGGCCCCGGCCACGTGGCTGACGGGGACCCAGGCAGGGGTGCCAAGTTCAGAAGCGTTTTGGCACCCTCGGATTCTTAGGCGGACGGACAGACAGACCCCGGCTCTCGCTCGGGCCAGCCAGTCGCGTCTGCCCTTGTTCCAGCTCCCGGAGGCCGCACCCTCCGGCCTGGCTCAGCTCTGCAGGGGGGAGGCGGGAGGGGAGGACCTTTCTCCGCTCTCTAAAGAGGGGGGCCTGGAGCCCAGCGGCTCAACAAATATTACTCATGTCGGTGGCGAGAAGAAAAGGGACTTTTGAATGGGAAAAAAAAGGGAAAAAAAAAGGATCAGGGAAAGAAGAACACGGGCGGCATTGTTTGCATATCAGAAAAATTAATCTACATCGGAAGGTCTGCAAAAGTGCAATTCAGAGAGCCAGAGAATTAGGACAGCCCAGCTGAGGGTAATTTTCTAGCCAGTTAATTTAATTGCATAAATCATTCCTTTGTTAGCAATAAAGAGATATAATTGAAATGAGATTGCCTCCCGTTCCTATTCTCTAGGAGCTAAAGGAATTGATTCTGGGCAACGCTCCCTTCCAAATACCGGATCAGGCAAATTGCATTTACGTTTTTTAGAAAAGCGAAATTATTTTGCCGTAATATCGCGGTGGGTTTAATTAATTATAGATCCGCCAGATGATCTTAAAGAAATAATTTATTTAATGTCCTCCGAGCACAAGTTTGCCGTCGTGCGTGTGTCCCACCCCTGGCAGGCGCGATTCTGGGTTCTGAGGGCAGGACTTTGGCGGGCGGCTGTTTGGGGGTCCGCGCTCGCCCGTTCTCGTTGGAAATAAAGAACTCGGCTCCTTAGTTGCGCATGGTTTCACTGAACTCATTTGGACGGGCTGTATTCTAAAATCGCTACGGGTAATTATTTGCCGTCTCCGAACCTTTGGGATTGAAAGGGCCTATAATTGTCTGTTAAATAGGGGAGCAGATCAAAGAGGGGTCTGGGAGCAGGGGGGGTGCCCATCCGTCTGCGGGATGTCAGGGAGAGTTGGGAGCCACTGGCAGGGAGGGCGTCATTTTTATGGTAATGGGTTGGAATCTTTAAATGGGGTGGAGTCTGGAAGTTTCGCTCACTGGATGATGAGAATGGCCTAGCAGGGGGTACGGAGAGGACCCCACAGGGGTGGGGCATGGGAGATGATCCTGCAGGGGTGGGGCGTGGCGATGACCCCGCAGGGGTGGGGCGTGGAGATGACCCTGCAGGGGTGGGGCGTGGAGATGACCCTGCAGGGGTGGGGCTTGGAGATGACCCTGCAGGGGTGAGGCATGGAGATGACCATGAAGGGGTGAGGCGTGGAGATGACCCCGCAGGGGTGGGGCATGGAGATGATCCCGCAGGGGTGGGGCATGGAGATGACCCTGCAGGGGTGAGGCATGGAGATGACCATGAAGGGGTGAGGCGTGGAGATGACCCCGCAGGGGTGGGGCATGGAGATGACCCTGCAGGGGTGAGGCATGGAGATGACCCTGCAGGGGTGAGGCATGGAGATGACCATGAAGGGGTGAGGCGTGGAGATGACCCTGCAGGGGTGGGGCGTGGAGATGACCATGAAGGGGTGGGGCGTGGAGATGACCATGAAGGGGTGAGGCGTGGAGATGACCCCGCAGGGGTGGGGCATGGAGATGACCCTGCAGGGGTGAGGCATGGAGATGACCCTGCAGGGGTGAGGCATGGAGATGACCATGAAGGGGTGAGGCGTGGAGATGACCCTGCAGGGGTGGGGCGTGGAGATGACCATGAAGGGGTGGGGCGTGGAGATGACCATGAAGGGGTGAGGCATGGAGATGACCCTGCAGGGGTGAGGGGTAGTGTGGGGTGGTGGGGGCAGCGGGGCCAGGGGACACCCAGGCAGGACCCTCGCCCCCTGGGGTTCCCAGACTGCCCTGTCCAGCCTCAGGTGTCCCTGGACCCTCGTCCCCCAGGAAGCCCACAGTCAGCCGGGGGCCCCAGGATGCCCATGGGCGCGTCCAGGCACGGAGTGGCCACACCGTGTCCTCCCATGCCGCCCCTCTGGGACGCGGTGTGGACGGGAGTGGACGGTACGGCCCGGGCTGGTGACTGTCCACATGCACCGGCCGTCCGCAATCCCCTCTGTGGCCGCTGGCTGGACCCCGGCCCCCCGTGTCTCCCTCCTTGACCCGGGAAAGGGAAAATGCCAGGTTGGGGGTTTCAGGGTCTGACGGGGCTCGGGGTCACGGGGGTCGCCACGGCCTCGGGGCTTCTCATGGGGAGGGCTAGACCCCTGCCCCCGCCCGGGCCCTGCTCCCCCAAGGCCCCCCTGCCCCCTCCAGGCCCCTCCCCTGCCCCTGCCCCCACCCAGGTCGCCTGGCCAGGCCTTGGGCACCGAGTCAGCAGGATGCTTCTTTCGGGTCCAGGCCGCCGGAGCCGCCCACAGAAGTGCTGGCCTCAGCCGGGGCGCCGGCCGTGAGTGCTGAGCTGGGGCTCGCCGCAGAGCACCTGGCCCGGCTTACGGCCCCCCTGGGAGACCCCCAGTTCCTTAAACGCTGAGCAGCCACTTGCCGGCTCCGAACTAGGTCAGCAAACAGGGAAGGCGGACGGAGTTGGAGGGGGGCAGCCGGGCCTGGACACGGGGCACTGCGGGGGGGCTGGTCGGGCTGCGGGCAGGGACGGGGCGGCCGGCGGGGGTCCTTCCTGCGGGGCAGCCGACGAGGGTCCTTCTTGTGGTGCAGATCGCGAGGGTCCTGCCCGTGGTGGGCCCCTGGTGGGATCGTCCTGCGGGCCGTGGGCAGCTGGCGAGGGTCCTTCCTGCCGGACGGCTGGCGCGCCCACAGGCTTGGGGTCATCCAGCACAAAAGGCCGCCTGGACTCAGTCATGGCATGGCGGGAAGGCCTTCGCGTTGCCGGCGGCTAACCCGGGTTCGATCCTTGGCCCCCCATAGGGTGCCTGGGACCCCCCCAGGACGGATCCCTGCGCACAGAGCCAGGAGTCAGCTCCGAGCACCCCTGGGTGTAGCCCCCAAACAGAACAAAGCAACACGACAAAGAAACGGCCCCGGCCCTGGGTCCCGAATCCCAGGTTCTCTGCCCAGCGCCCGGCCTGCGTCTGTCCCTGGGGCCACCCGTGACGACTCAGCCCCTTCCTGCCCGAGTCTGCGTGGCACCGACCATCTGCCAAGGGCAGGTGGATGCCGGGGTCGGGGTGGGGGGTGTCCTGCCAACAGCCTCGGGAACTCGGGGTGCCGGACAAGACGTGGCATGAGAGAGCGAGACAGGGCACCCCCCTCCGGGGCACCCCCTTGTCTCGATCCCATCCGTGAAACCAGACACAGAGATTTCCCCGCTCTCGCAGGGGAGGAGGGAGACCCCCAGCCCCCCCAAACCACCACTTTGAGCAGAACCGATGCATCTTTTTAAAAAAAATTTTTTTAGCGGAGTGATAGCACAGCAGGTAGGGCGTTTGCCTTGCACGCAGCCAACCCGGGTTCGATTCCTCTGCCCCTCTCGGCGGTTTTCCCTAAATACCTCACAGTGGTTCACGGCATTTGATTGCATTTAATATTCCAACACCAAATCCCACCACCATGACACTTTCCCGCCACCCTATTTGGGATGTTTCCATCCCAAGCCCCAAGCCCCGTCCCAAAGCAGAACCGAAATAATATATTTTGTATTTAGGGAAAACCGCCGAAAATGCTACAAAAAAAAAGTTTCCAAAGGGGACACATAAAGATCATTTTTATTTTCGCTTTTGGGTCATGCCCGGCGTTGCACAGGGGTTACTCCTGGCGGTGCCCGGGGGGACCCTATGGGATGCCGGGGATCGAACCCGGGTCGGCCGTGTGCAAGGCAAACGCCCTCCCCGCGGTGCTGTCACTCTGCCTCCTGGGGCTGACGCATCTGAAGCCCCAAGCTGGCTCTTGTGACCATCTGCTTCCCGACTAGGACCAACATTGCCATGCGCGGCCACACACGTGGCCTCCAGCGCCGTGGCCTGTATACACTAAATCAGTGACTGGACATACATCATGCCACACCGGCAGCGGTCCTGGACTTCGCCGGGACAGTGATCAGCCAGGA